AAGAATATCTCTTTGGTTTTGAGACTTTAGTCTTTGCAACTTCAGGGATCTTATCTATGTACAATCAGCTTGTAACACTCCAAAGAGAAAGGAAATCTTGAAATCGCATCATATGACCCTTTAAATCTCTCTAAATTGTCAAATTTGCGTAAATTGGTTAAGCATTCGTAAAACTATTCTTTTGCAAGAACTAATATGCAATGTTTGGAAAATCACTTTGTATGTAAGTTGTCGCATTCAGTTACCAGAGCAAATTTGCGTTAATTGGATATGAAACTATTCTTGTGCAAATTGTTGCATATTATAAATTGTGTTGATTCCACTATAAACGTCATGTTGGCCGTTTTGCTGGCTAAGTTTGTCTCTTGTATTTTTACATGATCTACAAAAGTAATAAATTTAATAGTAAAAAATGTTTTGTTTGTGATCAATAAATGTATTAAATATTTATACAAGTCAAAAAATTATGTTTTGATCCCAGTGTAACAAAAAACACTTTGTATAATGAACAAAATTCAATATTGATATTGAAGTTCATATTTCAATTTTAATATTGAAGTTTTTATTATACAGTTAACAGGTTTTATTGTTATATTTACAATTATATAAGACATTTAGCAGACTCTTTTATCCAAAGTGATTTCCAAAAGAGAAACGAAAGCAAATTTTCAGTATTTAAATGTATTAAAGAGATTTTATAAAATATATTGTGTTTGTTAGGTTCTAAAATTTCGAAATTGTCAAATTTGTGTAAATATTGTCACATTTCATTTGCATCATATCGATTCCACTACAAATGTCTTGCTGGTTTTTGTTTTTCTCCTATTTGATAGTAAATATATATATATTTTTTTTTTACTTAGATCAATGAGTTTGTGGACGCTCGAGACTTGAACATGGGTGCCTGGTTTGAGGCGCAGATTGTCAATGTGACGAAAACGACAAAGTCTTCGAGTGAACACGGAGGATCTGATGGGGAAGAGGAGATAATTTACCATGTCAAATATGAAGAGTGAGTAAATAGTCACTGTACATATCACACTGATCCTGCTCCAATGCAAAAAGTCATATTTGACCTTAGTTGTGAATGTGAGTTTGCCGTCTGAACTGAATGACACAAATATTTTGTTTACAACAAAATAATGGTAAGAAACGTCTTTGTATCGAGTGCTTGCGAGCTGAACAAAAAAAACGAATATACAATGTAACCGAATGTAAATGAATTGTTCAAAGATGAGTTATTGGCTTGAATCCATGTCTAATTTACACCATCAGCATTAAGAGAATCCCTTTCGTAAGCAAAATGGACTTTATAACTGAAATATGCCCAAATTAATCTGAATCAAAGTGAAATCAGAAAAAATTGTTAGCTTGTGAATCAAATCAAATGGAGAAATCTTTTAAAGAATCCGTGTATCATTCGATCATTCGTTTTTTTTATTTAATATTGAAAGTAGAAAAATGAGAAAACAGGTCCTTTTTCGTTTTTTTGTTTTTTTCCGAAAAACGAGAATTCAGCTTAAATTTTCGTTTTTCGTTCATGGGTGGAAACATGAATAAACCGCTTGAATATTCGATTTCTACATGTGGGCGGGAATTAAACGCCCCTTTCTGCTGATTGGTCAGCCGAAGATCAAACCGTGCCATCATCAGTTCTTCCGCAGTATCACGCAGCAGAATAATAGTCCTCCACTGCTGCAGTTGTACGGATTAATTAACCATTTTATCAATTTCATATTTTTCTCATCAAACAGACTAATGAATAGCTCGACACAACTCATACCAGGGCAGAGTCTA